GTTTATCAATAATACACAACGCTATTTTTAAGCAAACATTCAGTACCTAAGTTTGCAAAAAATCAATCGCGTATCGTGTCAAGGCGCAACACTACCCTGAAAAGGAAACGCGAAAAACAGTGATTCGCAACTCTACAAGCAAACGCGATTATTGGATATTCGTAACTCTATGTATATCATAACCGCGAGTTATGGGGAGGGATGGCTGGCATGTATGGTGCAATCATGTACCATCAGGTACATGCATACGTGAGCCAGTCAGAAAAATAAACTAACTACAACTACAGACGAGTTAAGTGACAAAGTAGCAATAGGAATGACTTTCCATCCTCATCCGAGGATGAAGATGAAAAGCCATTTGTTGTAGCCCACTCTTGAAACAGTTTGTCAGGGCCTCTTCAGCTCATATAGAGCCTTTTCTTTCTTCGGCGGTCCTGCCGATGCCTGAAACTTACGAAAGACCGGGCTCGAGATTTTGTGCAATACGTAGTCTTCCAACAATATACGAATTGTTGCAAGAGCATACGTGGTGAATCTCGAGGGGGACGAACGTTTCGAAAGGGACCTAATCACGACCGCGAGCGCGAGAGAGCGACTTTAAGAGTCGCGCGATTCGAGGAGTCGAAAATAAAGCCGAAACAAACAGCACAAGTGCACCGTTTGAATCAGCAAGATTTCTACTCTCGAAATCGTAACTACAGGAACAGAACTGCCACGCGAAAACGCGCCTACCCGAGTAACTAATGTGGACAGTCCTGCCCTGACCCTACCTACTTAGGTTTAAACACACACACCAGAGAATAAGTTACCTACCTACCTAACCCTATATTTAAAAAAATGCAAAACTCAATCTCTCAAACAAGCACTCCACGGTTCTCATTCTGAATGTCCGGGCGCGACCTAAACTAGAGAGGACTCCCCGGGGTTCCTCCGACACCCGGACACAACCTCATTCATACTCTAATTGTGTACGTACCAGTTTTTGCAGTGGACTGACAAAGCTAGTGCCCATTGCGTACTTTTATTATTTATGTAAAACATTTTAATATATCTGATATAGTCTTTATTAAAGTATACTCTATACATATATGATTATATAAGATTGAAAAGCTAATTCATTATGCATTTTATAATATTATCGACGTGTATGCAATACGAACAATTGCCAAGTAAATAATAACTATAAGTTTAATATTATTATTACGATTGTTATGAATCTAATGGTAAAAAACTCTGTATCTGAATTGTAATGAACTTTTGATACGATGCACTTCCACAACCTAACCACAAACACACATATGTGGACAGTACATCGCGCACGATACACTAGCATTGTCAATCGCACGGATAAATTATTACTATAAATGTTACAAACTAAGTCATCGTGCCCCGTTGCCTTCGCTCGTGCAAATAACACTTGGGCATGTGCATGAACTTAGGCAACGAACACGGAAAAGTATCCTGAAAATCCTGACTAGAACAACTGGTTATTAATAATCAACTAAACGGTATCTATTCTCAATTAAAATGACTCGACTTGTTATATGTAATATATCAACAACAGAGAACGTTAATATTGAAAAATATTATTATTCAAGACTTTGTAACTGAAATTTAATTGTTCAAAATGGAAGACTTTAATAAAGATATCATAATAAAATAATTTACTTTGCAAATTGAAATAAGTTTGTTAAATTATTATTCAAAATATTCAATTATCCCTGGTCGATTCTGTCGTCAAAGTAAATTTTTTAAAAGATGAAACTAACATGCATGTTCCTTTGAGTTGAGAAACGACCAGTCGCGAAACGCCTTCTTGCACGTGAAATACGTCATATGATGTATTAATCGATAAAACGAATATTTAATAATTATGTTAATGTTGTAAGATATTCTACTGGATCATATGATCGATATAATGCTTTCGCATTATATTAATTCGTATTCTACTCAATTATATAATTCATGTGAAGTTGTGTAACATTTATTGGTAACATTAAAAAACGCGAGTGCAAGGAGACCCTAGCCTGCACTAAAAAAATATAACAATTGATGTTGCTACTCACGGGTATTTCTCATACCCGCGGTCACTTAACTCGTCAAAAATACTAAGTATACAACTGGTCACCCGTGTTGATTCGGATCTTTCATCCTACAACATGGTTGGGGACCAGAGGAACACAAATAGCATGCGACTCACCAATGATGAACTTGTGCCTCTGGGATGACTGCATAATGATGCTGCTGCTGCTGCTGCCCAGTGGAAGTGATCAAAGCCCCCTGCATGTTCCTGCTATAAAGAATAAGAAAGCAATTATAATCTATTGTTAAAATTATAGAGATTTTTAATTAATAAATTTCAAAGTATAAATTTATACTTACGTTGTTCGCTCGTGGTCCACCGCCCGATACCCCCCGGGTACTGCTGCTGGTTCCCAGGATCATGTTCAGAAACTGTAAGAAAACTGTAAAAAAACAATTAGAATCTATTGTCAAAACTGTAGAGATTTTTAATTAAAAATTTCAAAGTATAAATTTATACTTACATTGTTTGCTCGTGGAGCATCGCCCAATAGTCCTCTTCGGTGATGCACTGACTCTAATTCCGGTAACGAGGAGTTTAAATTTCAAATTGAAAAAATAATTAATTTGATTGAAAAGTATTAAATTAGATTACCGCGACCGAAGATTGAAATCGGCGAACAAATGATTCTATTATCGCGATTCAGAAAACAGAAAGAGCCACGATGCTCTGGAAATAATTTAATACTGCGTAAGAAACACTGCTTCTATTCTCGCGTTTGCCTAACATCGCGAACGACAACGTGCTCGGGGTCACTTTGCCCCGAGAAACAAACTTGTTGCTACGTACAATCACTGAATCTACCGGCCGCATTGTGCGCGGCCAACAAATTTCCTGGAAAGAAAAGAGCTGAAAAGAAAGGGACAGGAGAGACAAGAAACACAACAAGCACATCTGTGCTTAGCCTATCGATTTTTCTTTTTCTTCTTACAACAGTTCGTCAACAGAAATACTGCTTTACTTAGCACTGCTGTATACATAGTTTGACATGATCAATGCCACGAAGGCGAAATATTCTCAATCAATGAGAATTTCAACGATAAAATATTATCTACGAAAATAATTACGTACAAGTAATTATTCAATTTATAAATATTATATCACTAAGTTTCATAGTTAGAGTTGTAAGCATGATTATGTTTACTTTCTCGAACGTTAGAATATCCCGTAATTTTTATAAATATTCCGAAATTTGCAAGAATTAAAGTTCGTTGGTTATTTGTGCTCGAATAGCATATTTCAACGCCGCAGTTACTACATTTTCTTAAACTTGCATCGAAATATATATGCAAATTGCAATTACAACAATTCATAAAGAAATATAAACGATCAATTAAATAAATAACAGTCGGAAATATTTAATCGCGATGAGAATACAGTCTAATATGAACTATTTCAATTTAGCGTTAATATCTACCGACGCCATTTCTGTATACTTCGATATATATCGAAGTAGACAAAAAGTTTGTTAATGATTTTAATATTTTATCTTAACAATGACCGACTACAAAATTAATATCATGCTTGCAACAAATAACGTTATAAAGCGATAAAAATGAGTAAATATTAATATGAATGTTAATTTTTGTTATAGTTGTTTAAACGTTACCAATAATGTTACCAATATTCTCTTCAAAATTTGTCGACTGGTTTGCCATCTGTTATGGCGTCGAATTCCAATAAGAGACTGTAACAGAAACGAAATAACGATGCATTAAATTACGCAAACGATTATTACAATTAAGTAATGATTAAATCGAAACCGTATTGCAAGAGATCGTAAGTAGTAATACGCGAGTAGTAATAGTGGAAGGATAAACAGGTTAGAAATACGCACCTCGGCCGCGAAACGCCGATACGTCTTGACACGTCTTGCTATGTTTATTTTCAAAGTATGAATGATGGCCGTCCTCTGTGCTCGGCAACGCTCGCGAATTAGGTGGCGGGATGGGGGAAGCTCCGATGTCTCGCGAAGCTTGTTTACGAACCCGAGGGATACCTCGGATAGAAACCGCGGATAGACTGATTTTTAGTAAATTATTTACAACTTTAACTAGTCAAGGAATCGCGTATTATTCGTACTTTTCAAAAAGGGCACCGTTACAGAGTAATAGTGGCGATTGAAAGCGTTTAGATGTCGATTAGTGAAACGTATGTACATACCTTATTAGTTGAGAAACTGTCGATACGTCTAATTGCGCCAAAACCCACGAAACAACCTTAAACCAGCAGCAGCGACATCGCGAATTGGCGGTAGGTGGGGGAAGGTCCAACGTTTCCGACACCCGATGTTTTCCCGATGGAAATCTCAAACACCTGGTTTCGACAAGCTTTCTTATCGATTGTTTACTTTCTGCTGAAGCGTTTTCCCAGAATTACTATCCTTCCTAGAACTGCTTCCCGCCCATCGCTCGTCTCTCAATACTGAAATAATACACAAGGCCAATGTCATGAAACAAGTATTTATTACGTTAAATATATATCAGAGGCGAACTGAAATAGAAACTTGACAGGATGCGATTGAAAATCACACACGCTGCAGCTTGTTTGCCCGGCGATACTAATTCGATTAATAGTTTCTCAACTGACCGCCATCCGTGAGAAGAGAACGCCAAGATAACCTCTAACTTTTAGATCGATACAGAAGTCAGTTCGGGCGACGAACTCCGTAAGGTATAAAGTCTACTCGTGTGCCTCGTACGCGGTTACGTTTCTCGCTCGATATAGTGAGTATTTACTTTACCGAAAGTCGCTCCGAGTCGCTCGGTAGTCGGGAAAGGAACACTCCTCGTGTAGCACGGTCTGCAGTCCTATGGCAAGATGTCGTTAGACCGTCCGTAACCGGTTCGATCCGCTATACACCGCGCACGAGGCGGTGCGCATTCCCATTGACCAGTCTGTAGCCCGAGTCGTGTATTCGGGCCAATAGTAATCGTGCGGTGGCTTTGAGAACACGGGTACGGTGTCTCGTTAGTCTCGTCGTGGTGCGTTTCCAGACATCACGTCGGAGTAAAGAAGGGCGAAGCGAGTAAAGGAGAAAAAGCAACGGAACCGACGTTCGGAAAAATCGAAACGTTCGTCGTCCGTTCTCGAGGGAATTTGAAAAACAGACGAGCGGGAAGGTCCGAAACAGGATCGCCAGCGCCTCGTACTCGTCTAACGCGTCTCTGTTTCCGGTGCTATCGTGTCCAAACGCCGCGGAGAAGCTGCAACTCTTCTTCGGTACCAGGATTCCGCAGCGGGAGCCGCGCAAGACGAGGTGAGTCATACGCGCATTTTCCGCGTCGAGAACCTTTCTCGATCCGCGTAAAAGGTTCCTCGACGCGCGACACCATTTCGATCGATGACGATTCCGTGACATTAGACCCAGACACCGTCGACAACGTCGTCGTCGACGATATTTTTGCGCGTGTACGCACATCTTCGCCGTCGTGCTCGACCGAGTTGATACAAAAGGTGCAAGTTTTTACGACGATCCGTTCGTGACGCTATCCGACGCGAGTATAACCGTCATAGGCTGCGAAGTTCGGCGCTTCCCCCCTCGGGAATCGATTTCGTTTCGTACGAACGCTCGTAAACTGCGATTTTCGTATTCACCGACGACGCTCCGACTGTCAACGTTTACGATCGAGGGCTCGATGCGTCGCGACGGCCTGGGTACGGTGGTTACTCGAACGAGAAACGAGGTTAGACGTTACACACGCGACTATCCATGCGAAAAATCAATACACGGCATCCTGGGTCGCGATTCAGACGCGCGCGGACGTGTTCCGCGAATCGGGGGAATCGTTCTTACGGGGAAAACGACGATCGCCGCGAGTTTTACCTAGAAAGCTCGTAGGTCGGATCGATTTTAAGCACGGTGCGACTGTATGCGTGCACGCGTCGCGGATGTGGCTACGTCCATGAGCCGGAGACCGCAGCTGATCCCCGCAAGTTTGGGTTTTCGCGGGCACAGACAGCTCGACTCGGCCGCTCCACCATGCACGTTTCCAGATTACGTTACAACGGAACGATGGGAACCGGAATGAAATTGGAAAAGTTCGCCGGTCGAATTTTAATATTCGTAGCGTTTCGTGTGCGCCGCGAAAGTTTAATGGGATTTCGATGTCACGCTCGAATATCGAATTAACAACCCTCCGGAGACGAGCGCGGGACATTGGCTAATACCAAAATCGGTTTATTTCTCTGTGCGTGGATTTGTGTGCATCGGGCTCTTTGTAATCTTGTTCCTTATCGATTCCTCTTTTCCGTACGTGCGTCGGCCTCAAAATATAGATCGCTACGGGCTACAACCGCACACATATCGTCAATCACAAGTTTCATCAACTCGATTGATGGTAATGTTTTTTACAGGTTACAATGTTTTCGATATTCTCTCGTTAATTTGTAGTAAAATTTTGAAACCCAAAAACGAAAAGAAAGAGAATCGAAGTCGTGTGTGTGCTACCGTTTATGCATGACAGTTAGAATTAACATTTACTCAGACCTGGGCATCATTCGAACAAAATTATCTTAAAATAATTTTGCAAATTTAATAATTTCATTCTAAATGCATATTAGAGACGTATTTTAAGAGAATCGTACACAAACGTCGATATAGTGTTCCGAGTTGCTAAGAATTACATATTATAGGTCACGTTCGATACTATTTACCATAGATACTCTATTCCAGTCGACAGCAATACAGGAACAGGGTTATTAACTATAAAGGTACATTGATTCTCGCAAAGAAACGAATATGTTTCACGATTACAAGAAAGACAAATTTAAAACAATTTATTTGACTCTCGAATTAAACTAGATCGTTTTTCCTGAGTTACCTTTGAAATATAAAACCATTTGAAACGTTTATTTTTATTTCGCGTTCGAAGTATTTTATGCCCAGGTCTGCTTTTATCGTGCAAGGCGATTGTTGAACTGGATCGAGCTGCAGCTGTTTTATATGTAAAAATAAAAAAAATAGTAAGAGAAAAATATACTCGATTTCATTCCTATTTCCCTGATAAATGGAACAAATGCATCTGCGAAATGCAGTTGCGTTTTCTTGTTTTATATGAGTCGCTACTTTCAATATTGAATGGAAACTGCGGATATCGTAATTACTTGCATTTACTACTTTATATTTAACAACTATAAAACGTGAAAGAATACCAAGTTACAATTAATCGAAGGCAACTGCATAATTTTTAAGAAGAAAATATTTCACAAAACATTTAACTTGATACGTTTACATACAAGAGTGTTTTAAAAGATTATTTTTAATAATAATCCAAACATCGAGAAGGCGCGTCTCGTTAAAGTACGTTTTCGTCGACCTTTTTCTACCCTCGCTAAAAGAAATCCGTTTATTTACTTTATCAACGAAATTTTTGTTCTACTTTTATTTAGAGAAGCGCTGCAGTTCGTTCCAGTTCCTAGAGTCGCCATGTAGAAGGTGTGTTTCCCGGAGCTCGATAGTGACGAGCGTGACGCACAATTCCTTGCCTCGTTACGGAACAAATTTTCTTAGCCAGCGAAGGTTTTAATTGGCAGGAAGGCCACGAGGCCGAGACGATGGTACGCTAATGCCCCTTCGGTCCGAAGAGGGTCGCGGTTGTGAAAAAATATAATTCACGGCTTTTCGGTGCTACTACAACGATAACGGGAACCGTGGAAACAGAATTTCCCTTCGCGCGTCCGGATTACGTTTATGAATAATCGCGTTACGTTGTTTCGTTTTCATCGTGACTGCTAACCGGGCGTACTTATCGATCGTTACCGTTGCCGTGTTACATTATGCAATTCGTTTGTTTACAAAATCGAAAACTACGATAGGAGATCCTAGGCGCCCCTCGCAACGGTAAAAGCAGTTGCACGAATCGTCGATCGTCAAAAGCTCCAATGTTGTGTACGCACGGTATCACTTTGCATGTGCGTGCCTGCCCTTTGGAGTTCAATACGTACGGAATCATCAACGAAGCATGTAATCAGTGATACATTTCACCGATCGAGACGCACGAGTTTCGAAACTATGTTTCACGCAGCTCTGAGCAATTTTCGGAGGCCGAAAACCGTTTCGGAAGAACCCGGTCACTGATCACTGTTTCGAGTTTCTCAGCATCTGCGTGTTTCCACAAAGGCGAACAGCGTAACACCTTTGCAATTGGCATGCGGCCACGCATGATTATATCTCGATGTGTATAAGTCAATGAATTTTGTGCATGCCGGCGCCACACCTTGACACGCATCTCACCTACCTTCTTCACTTTTTTTCTTTACGCGAGGACGGCTCGTAACGCGAGGTATCGGCAAACGATTTCGTACCAATGATCTCCCCGTCGCACGTAACGAGGAAATAAACGACGAAAAGAAAATAAAGGTATCGCGACGGTCGATCTAAATCGGCTGAAATCTTACGGAGCGTATCGGGATTTGGAATCGAGGATGGGCGTGCACCGGAAGCGTTCCATCAGTTCCAGCCACGTAACGTCTGTCACTTTCTTAGCCAGCCACCAATTAAGAAACGTCAAATCCAGGCAGGTGCGCGGATATGATACGGAGCATAACAAAAATATTAACATTTACACGGAAGCAACTTTTCAGAGAAACAGAAATGATAACATAATTAAGGAGAGTATTTTATTTGCAATTTTCTTGTTAGCGGCAGTTCGAGTTTTTAGCGATCTGTTTCCTTGTGAAATCTTGCACTCGTACGAGTGTTACTATTTTTGTTTTCACGGTATCGTGTTCACGGTCTTCGTAACATTGAGTAGTGCAACATATAACAAAGAGTGTTGATATAACAACGATGGAATCGAATTCCCGACACTGTCCGTAATTTCAATGAGATTTTTCCATTCGCGTACCGATTCATACGCGATTACTTAACGGTACGAGTAATCGCGAAGCACCTGCTTTGTTTCTCGCGATCGTAGTACGAGCGATTGTTAATGCCGTACTACCAAAACCATAATTGCAAATTCATCCGGCCGGCAGTAATGACGACAGGTGTTGTCTGTCCTTTCGACCGCATGACGTCACGAACGGAGTGCAGTACTGCATTTCCTCGATGCACAGCATTAATGACAATCTGTAGGGTCGTTCATGCCTTTCGACCGCATTAGGTCCGACTGAGTTTTGAATACATTACGCGAGACTTTAAAAAGCTTCGTTAATTAAACAGTATTCCAATGATAAAAGTATCGCGCAAAATTAAATGAACAAAAATAATACGAAAGCATTTCGTGAGCGGTACATTTTACTTTCTCGTTATTTCGTATAATTTACTGTACAAAAGTGTTTGTACTCGTATTTGTAAAGAATGGCTGTGCAACCCTAACAATGGATAATTAATTATTTGAGCGGAACAAACTCAATAACGGAATGTTGGAAATTAAAAAGGGCTGTATAAAGCAAGAAAAAAACGGAGTAATTAAGAAAATTACTGGAGCATTAGCGAGGACGGCCGGAGAACGAAGAAAAAAATTGCACACGGTGTTATTTTTTTATACGGGTATGTACTCTGACCTGGGAAATTCTAACAGAAACGCTCCCGTTTAGCCAGGTACATGCATACAATTCCGCGGAGTAAGAAAGTCATTTGTCGTGCGTTAAGAAATGAAAAAAAAAATTCCAAACATTATTCCATTAAGAATTAATCTGTTAAAAAATGAAAATAACTGCGTTTCTGCTCGTGGCGTCATTAAAAGATATTTAAAAGATATTTAAGATGTGTCAATTAAAAACAATATACGTATATTTACTTACATTTTACCAGGCTAACGGAATTGTTTAAACCATCGATCTCGTGATACATCATTGTCGACACGATAACTCTCGTTCTGATAATCCTAAACAAAAGAATGAAACAAATAAATTTCGATGGTCTCGAGATTCAAAAAAACATATATATTTTTTTCCAAGCGACTGGAAGAAATCTTTCGGCAGAGAGACATTTAAAGTTGCGAGACAGCCGGTCTGTTGGTTCCCGAGATGTTACGTCAACCAGCTTTGACGTATGTCATTTCGAGAAAGAGATCTTTATAGCGTGACGCACGGCGCATAGAACGTATGAAGCACTCGATACAAAGTCCTATAGCGTTCGCAGATTTTTCGAATTTCATCTTTCGCAGACGCTTACGCGAGACTCGAACCTTTGAGAAAATACGGACGAGAAGGGAACCGATTTTTCGGGCAATGGGAGTTCGTTGGTTCGTCGTAAAGTTGCCGATGCCTCGATCGATGGTCCAAGCGGTTCACACGGTACCTCCTTATCTTGGATTTTCTTTATTTGCCCGTTTGCCCGTTCGTTTGCCTTGTTGACGTACGATATTGGCGTATCGGCTTCGGGCACGCGTATCAGCAACGCCAACAACCGGGGCCAGCAACGAGGACGCGGTGCCCGGAACACGTTTGGCGAAGAAACGCGTTAGAGGTAGATCCGCCGCCAACGGTGGACGGGCATCCTCGGCGAAGGCGTTCGAATAGGTCGTCTCAGTGGGTAGGCTTCATCGTGGGCGAGCAAGAGCAACCGGAAACTCCGCCATGCCGGCAGGTATTGGCGCTTCGTACAGGTCGTTAGGCGACCTGGGCGAAGACGTGTACAAAAGCACGACGATCGTCGACCAGACACAGACCACCGGACAGAGCGTCCTCGAGAGTGTCAAGAAGGCTTTCAGTTTCGCCTCGCCCAAGGTCGAGCTCAGGAAAAAGGACCCGCTGATCGAGGACCGTCGTGAGAGCGTCTCGATCGTCTCAAGGTAATGCCTTATATGATATTGTCCGCACATACAGGGGAAAAACCGGTCGGCAGGTAGGGTGACGGTCGCGGGATACCGAGTTTCGCTTCTTCGCGTTGTTTCTCGACCTCGGACCCGTCTATTCAATCCGTGATCGATGACGTTCGAGTCTTCGATGCACCGCTAAGACGCTGCTCGGCTCACTTGTGGAATCATTGTACCAGGCGCATTCGCGACACGTACGATAACGATAGACTCTATTTGGAACGAAGCTATTACTCCATCGACAGGCAATTCGTTTCCACGCACGATCGCTCACGACGAGATATAAATTGTTGCAAGACGACGGTATTGTTTTTCTTGCGTTCGATTCGAAATACTACTTATCGAACTACGTAAATCCCCTGTGCACGATCGACGTGACGCATTTGGTAATTCGCTGGTATTACAGATAAGATTATGTTAAACGTCGGGAATTTTGAGTTCAAAGACATGCGCGATCAATGGCACAGTAGCCTGCGAGCAGTGGCTAAGGAGGTCGCGAATAATCGGTTCGAGGTCGAAAATGTCGGAGGTACGGTTAGAGTGCTTTTGCTATTGGCCACGGTGGTGGACTGGCGTCGAGGAAATCGATCGTCACAGTTTCCTGCCCTTTTTAGGCGCTGAAACTTAAAATTGCAAGAAAAACACTTGATGTACTTCTGAGAAACGCATTGAAACACGGGGCCGCTTACGAATTATTAAAATCCATTGCTACTAAAATGTTACGACTCGCTAACTCTGTGTGTGCCAACGGACGTAGAAACGGGGCTCGTAAAAACAACAAATACTGTTCCGTGTTTCCCGAGTAGTGAGCACGTTGGGCTGAATCTAAGGGGTCGTATTGTACGCGTGCATATTCTTTTCTCTGTTGGCTCTTCTCCATTGCTTCCCGAGCATACATATATCTACGTGTAGAAGCAAATAACTTTCGGTACCGTTGCTACTCCAGAATGTTTTGCCGCGCGAAATGAAAGTACACGGATCGGGGGAACAATAACGGTAATAAATTCGGAATTTTTTCGATAATACCGCTCGACCCTGTATCGCGTTTCCGATATCGAGTCCTCCGAATGGTAAAATATCGTCTTGCGAGGGTTACCCAATCGAGAATCGATAATGCACTCGCGGTAATATGGCGCCCGTCCGATTTCGATCCAGCGACCGCTTCGAGTGCGCTTCTTCGACTCCACTGACGAATCGAAGCAGCCACACACGTGCCCCTGTTATCGGTATAATCAAAGACTGGTTTAACCTTAAGCACGGACGGACTTTAGGACCGGAAGTTGGTGCCGCGACTATTGATCGGCCTGGGTACAAAAGCAGGCCACGAGGTAAGCCGCATCATGCGACCTGAACGTCACTCCTTTCCTCACGCTGAACACTTCCACACCGCGTATTGCTAGTGACTTTCCCAGCTCCTCTATTATAGTTACATCCGCTTTGGTCGTTACACGCACTGGCTTGCCGCTGCTTCTGATCGACAGTCGGTGATAATTTCACGGACCGGTCGATTTTAATTACAATTCAATTTTCTCCCCGATTCGTTCGGCCGGTTAAAGCAAACGAAATAATTTTGCTCGATGCGTTTAATATTTTTCCAATTGCATCGATCCGAGCGAACGCCTTTATTTAATTACGGACAACGGCACGGGTTCCGTGTGTACCGTAGCCGGTGTCCCGGTTTATTAAAATCCACCTTTGATAAACTATGAATTCGTCTCGATCGATATTTCATGCATCGGATATTACCGAGCGACAGAGACATGGAAAATAGATCCCCTGGAAACGTACGGCCAACGCACAAAAGATACTTGTCCCGTGAAACTATCACCGGTGTTACGTTATTATTATCGTTAGCAGTCGTCGTTTTTGCATGCACGTAGTCCGGCGTTGTTCCTTTGTCCTTGCAACGCTCGAGTTGCATTAGCGTGTGCTTCGTGGCGCGCGACGGCAACGCGTGCGTTGCGGAACCGGCTTCTCGGTTCGAGAGATCCTCGTGTGAGGTCGATCCTCCGAGAACGACGGGCAAGCAACATTCAGCACGACATTGCATACTTCTCAACCGCACGGATGCTCGATTTCGCATAGAACGCCCTGGAAAACGCGAAACATCTACGCGATGCGAGCATCGTATGTTTCTTACGCTCGTTATCGTACGCCTAAATTCAGTCCGTAGATCGCCGCGAACGCAACGAAACTCGCGTGACTTTGATCAGCGAGTTCAAGGCGACGTACGCTCGAGAGCCGCGGTCTGAAAAGAGTACGGGATCGTTGGTTCGCGAAGAGTCGGAACTGCGGTTGGAAGAAACGTCTGAAATATGGCGCAACTTCGAACGTGAAAGTGCCAGGGAATGTAGCTAATCCTGCGCCGGTCGTTATATCGTGTTTGGAACGCGTTCAACAATTTTGCCTGCTAAATGTTCGTTGTTGGTATCCGGGGTAGAGGCTGTGTAAGCCGCTAGGGCCGGGCGTTGTTATTATTCGCCGCCATTTTGTTCTAGGGAAAGAAACAGGATGCCGAGTGCCGCCACAGCCGAGGAATCAGCACTTTTGGGGTAAGTTTCGCTAATAACAGCGTCGCGTTGTTAAGGTAGAATCCTTGCTATCGAGTAGATCCCGATTGCGACGTTCAGCCGAATCGACGCCTCGCGTAGATCGTTTTAATCCAATCGTCGTGTCCCCCCCTGTCACGTATGCGTGTAGTTGTACGTGCTATTTATTCGACGCTCATCCGCTGTTCCGTAGGGATTCTGAGGTCTCGCTGAGAATCGGCATTGGCCCCGATGTCGGTGAAGCCGAATGATCGCCGGTAATTGGCAGTTGCGTTATTAAGAGTGGCAAACGTTATTGCTCTTTTTCAGAAGTACAGACAAGTCAAGGCTCCGCCGGCGGACAACGTCTGGCCGGCGAGCCACGAGTTTTGTACGATTTCGGAATCCAACTGCGTCATTTTCCCGAGTGCAAGATTGTTCGTTGTATTGGTCGCGAGTCCCTCGAGTTACCACGCAACAACAAATCGATAGGATACATTAACTCGGGGCTCGGGAGAAATGAAATTGCAACGACGAGGCATTGCGTGCTACCTACATATCCTCCCATGACGTTTATTGAATGGTCGTGGCGTTTTTGTTGTTCGTCGCTGGGATATATATTTCCGATTGCAACGAGACGAAGCTCGAAAGCTATCCGCGTGCTCCCTTGATTTCTGGGTTGGAAGCTGAATTTCCGATCGTTTCGACGAACTTCGGAGCCGTGTTCTTTATCAGAGCTCCGCGATCGCGGTTCTTGGAAAGTTCTGGTATTTTCGCGATTACCGGTCCTCGTTTAAATGCAAATTTTAAGTGTAATTAGGGTCCTCAAATATTACCCCGAACTTTCAAGGTTCCCCCGAGACACTTAAATACTCCGAACACGCGTCCCGAGCGCTCGGTCTTGTACCGTTTCGCTTCGTAAATAGTTTCCCGAGTACGAAGTTGCGTCGCGGAATGAAATAATAGAATTCTTCGATACGAAGCGAAAGAGCAATTGAACGAAGTTGGACGCATGTTTTCAATACGTCGCTTTTAATGAAGTCTCTTCGTTACGTAACTGCCTCGAACATTTTGTTCACGTGCACGGCATAAAGCAACGGAGCAACAGCTCCGATGCACGGTACGACATTAAATTTCAAACTCCCTGGACGCGTCGTATTGTTCTCACATAATTAAACCTCGGGAATTACACTTCTATCTGTCGGATCACAACGATACTCGACTACCATGAATCCACGTTCAACGCAATTTTACAAACGAACTTGTTACGATCCTAACGAGTTTTACGATTCGTCGTACGAGAAGGATCGAACCTACACGTTTTGTTGCGATTTATTGAAATTTGGAACGATTTAGGAGAACGAGAGATTAAAGATTAGGTTGTATAATAAATTATATTTCTGTCAATTTGAATGTATCTGTAAAATTATATTCCCAAGTTACGACACATCGAATAAGTTACATTATGCTAGTGTCTCGTTTAATTATTCTTTTGACGAAGGAATTTGTTGAAACGTGAAGCTGCACGCAGTGAAAGCATATTTTTACGTGCATGCTACGTGCAAAACTTAAGCAAGGTGTATATTTCGCATGAAAAAAAGGTTTTCCAAAGACGTCCTATTTTTCAGAGCGCTAACGCTACGAGACTCTTAATCGCGTAACTTATCTTTTGCGTTTTCGCCAACGCCGGAATTGGGTAGACAGACAGACTGGCGTCCTACTTCTAATCGAAACAACGGTTCTCCCCTCTAATCGATGTTCGTGGTAAAGTAATTAACAGCGAGATTAAGATTAATTGCAAGCCATTAGTAGGTGCTGATGGACGATTGTCCGACGACATTAATTCTTCGTTCTAAAAGTATTCGCTGTAAGGGGCGCGTTTCTGCACTGCCAAGGAAAGGAATGGAGAACTGGAGGATATCGATTAACGTGGTATTTGTGTCACAAGCTTGTGATAGTTGGTAACGCCACAGACGGACTAAAATAGCGTCGTGGATGGAAAAAGAGTTAATTTCCCAGTTAATGTCGTTAATCGATTCAAAGCGTCTGAAAAGAATTCCGTTCTAAATATATAAATGACATTGCCAATGACAACGATACACGATAACCAAATTAAAACCCGATCGTTAGTTCTATTTCAAATGAATTTTGCTATCTAAAATATCACTTTTTATAAATCTATTATAGACTGTTCTATTTTAATAAAATATATTACTCTTCGATTGCAATAATCTCTTTATCGGTATTCGATAAATTTAAAATGTTTCTTCCGCTTTTTGGGTCGACGTTTACGATTGAAAATATAGATAATGGTCGTTTTCAAAATAAACAGTGGACGGGTCTCGTTTATTTTTGGAGCGCCATTACGTCAGAGATTCGTTGTGTTAAATTGCATTGACAGTACAGTAAAATATAACGGTTCCTTATGACGTCATGGTCGTATACGTCATTTTGTTCTACTTTCCCTGAAAATTCGTTTTCACGTCACTTGGCTACGCGCCAGGTCTATCTGAATCGCTTGATCCCGGGCTTTGGCTCAATTTCCGATTCGATGAAAACAATGCAACCACCGTTTTCCCGAGATACCATCGATACGGTTGAAACATTGGAAAATCTAAAAGTCTGCTCCGAATTCCGGGCAGAGGGACTCGAGGTTTCCTAGAGACAGTGACGTATTACTCTAAAACGTCGATTCATGTTTCGTTTCGTTACGTGCAAATTAAGGGCGTAATAAAAGGTGAAAAGTTTGGACACGAATACGTAATTATTCCATGCAGAAGCATAATTACGACTTGTCGCAGAGATTCTTGATCATGCCATCAGAATCAAATCATATACCATTAACTATTCGGAAGAATAACAACTACTCAAATACATAGTATACAAGGTAATCATAAAATATCATTCGCGAATCGTAAAATAAAAAGAAAACGTATGATTCCTATTTAAAAAAACAAATATCAGATTACACTTGCACCGTTGCATCACCAAAATTACATAATCGATAGACAGTCTCTATTAAGGAATTCGATATTTTCCTTAGTTTTTTTGTCCCTTCGCTTACAAAAGACCTGTGATTTGTTCCAGTGCCTAGAATTACTCTTAGTCATTATTACCTGAACTCGTCAAAGTTAATAAACGTTAGTCAATACACGTGATGTCGAAACTGCAAAAACTAAACTAGTATTTGCTCACTGTATTTACCATCTATAGATTACCATTCATTTTACCATCCGTATCATTTTTTGGCAGAGAAAAACAACTCTATAATAATCTCACGTGACTCTGAAGTCGCATATCCATTATCCACATTATTAGAAGTCTGATGCAATCCTATTATAAATATGTATCAATTGTGGGTTTCGAAGCGCCAGTACGATTCCATTAAAATATTATTCTTCCGACCGGTATTTAATTTATTTAAAGTCGAAACCCAACACATCGGCAAGAACCCTACTCGACAACTTGATAAAACTAATTGGCGAAATATTCGCTACTTTCGTGAATCATCGTCGTTGCGCAATCCACGACTAACCAGACTTCACTGGCAGACATACGTTTCATAATTAGCGAGTACGCATGAACAAAGACAGGTACCCAGGTATAGTTGCAAACTAGAACAAAGTCCTCAGCAGCTCGTCCACCGTCGGGAGAAAATAAAAGGTAAAACATTGTTGTGCGATTGCAGTTAATGCATGGAGAATGAATAAACGAAGCAACTTTCTGTCGTCTAACCGATGATGCATATTTTTATTGACATGCGTATGCGGTCTGGCCCGATATATTATAGTTAGACGAAGAATTTAGTTTGTTTTTTCTCTAGATGGTATAGCTTTAGCGAAGCGTGCTCTGCATTCTGCATAGATTTATGGGCGGAATCGTTCGACTCCCCTGTTTCAAAGGAAAAGCTGGACTCCAGAAAGGAAACACGTAAATCGATCTATCCCCGGCAGCCTCGTCTTACCATACATCTTTACGTCGTCCGTGAGCGGCGGAACCGGCCGACAAAAAAAATCTGTACACCTCGGTTAATCGATCGGTAAAAAGGGTTCGAGATATCGAATGACGGGGATATCGAGTGTTTCCCGTGGTGGTTAGCTCGGCTTCTAGCGACCGTCGATGAGATCCTTTCTTACGAATCCACCATTTTCTTTTCTTCGTTGAGGGCGACCATCCACGGTGGTACCGTACGCTCTCAGACAATCTTATTTATAATTTACGCGACTTCATTTCTCATCTCTGTGCACCTTCATAAATTCACTTTACGCCAATTCCCAACTCGATCGTTTGCAATCGATTTTACGGACATTTGAAATGTATTATTCCGTATTTAAAAATAGTGATTCTTCGTATAATTATAGATCAAACATTTGGAATACAATTCTTTCAGACGGGGCTTCGTTTTCTAGAAAAACAGTCTTGAATATTTAATTTTGTTTGGAAGGTACCATTTCTAAGAAAAAGAAAGAAAATGTCTCCGAGATAAGTAATATTGTAACAGATTTTCTACGTTAAAAATTTTCTTTTGCGCTCTACTTTGTAAAACACTGCTTTGAACGGTTATGTTTATTTATATGTACATACGAAAGCACTCGCTATACTATAGCTAATAAGATTCAATAAAATACGGGATGGACTTGGGAACTAATTAATTTATAAAATGAGAAATTTCTCAAGCCCGCATTTAATGTAGCAGATTCTCGAATTTTTAACTCTTGAAATACATCTATTGCTTCTTCTTTAACAATTCAATGGACGTAATTTTATCGATATTTTACCATATCGATTAATAATCCGTGTGGACGTAACAAACACTCAACTTTAAAATTTCTTTATAATTTATGGAACTTATTTACGTTACAACCTTATATATTGTTCCGGTAGTGCTGAGATATCAAGAAACTACGTCTATTTAACTAGTTGATACCTTGAGCAAAGAAAGAATGAACGTTTATTTTATCTTTTGTTTAAGGTCCCTGATATTTTCGATACTATTTCGTATTTCGCTAGTTCTTATCAATTAC